GTGAAGGGAGGGCTAGGAATGGGGAAAAAATAAGAACCAACATGCATTATGTAAAGGTACAATTCCCAATGAGAAATGTAATTGGGTCGTATCCCTACAATGTACCAATAAAAGAATTTAATAAAGAAAAAAAAAAGAGAGCATAAGCTTTGGGATCACACAGCTTGGGTCCAAATCCTGGTTTTGCTACTGAGTAGATATTTCATCTTGGTTTGGTTCCTTCTTCTTTCTGAGCCTCAGTTTTCTTAAATATTACCATAGTCATTCCGGAAACCCAAGCACAAACTGCTGATGGCAACATTCCTAACATGTAAGTGGATCTAAGTTAGCTGCTCACATACTTCTTAAATGCCTCATTCACTGGGTATGCACTGACATCTACATATCAAGCGGATGTATACAGAGGTATCTAAACCACAGTCGCCAGAGTATAAGTCTAAGAGAATTACTAACGTTCATGAGTAGTTAAACAGGTTTCCTAAAGTTATCTATCTATATTTCCTGACCAGATTGTCCTTGACTCCATTTTATTATTTCTCTGTTTGAATTATGGCTTAACTAATGCAATCAATTGAGTATTTACTCATGAAAGTTGTGTGCAATTTCTATTTCCTTACCTTATTAATTTCTCCCTGTTGGACAGTTTTTATGATGTTAATCCATTCTTCCATGTCTTTCCTGTTAGGTGCAGCCAGGGTGACTTTTCGTTGAGGTGTGATAAGCTAAACAAAAAGGCATCGTATTAGCTGGTTCTCACTTCACACAACATTGGCCCTCCCCACAACTGTGTCTGTAAACTCTCTGAGGAAGTAGATAGATCTACCAAGCACAAACCAAGCCATTTCTTAAATATAAGACACAGGTCCCCATGGCCACTCACAGCTTCTTAGATGCCTATCCAAAACAATAATAAAGATAATCGTAATAATTAAGACTATAATGGCACTTCCCATGTTCCAAGAATTATTTGAAAGCCCTTTGATTATATTATTTCAATCTGCATTACATCACTATGAGATGGGGATTGATGTTTTTCTCATTTCATAAGACAAGTTTACAATAGTCTCTCAATTGTGCTCAGTGCAAGAACCCAGTCAGGAATAATAAGAAATCTACATTGAGAGTTTAGCAGATGGAGATCAGGAAAGAACTTGATCTTTTCCCAGAAGGGAGGAGGGAGCATGGATATCTGTGTCATCAGTCATTGTTTCAACTGTTTCAATTCTTTACTTTTACTACTGGTGCCTCAAATCTTGGGACTAGAACTCACCACATCAAGAAATTTATTTCCCACATTGCATGTTGCACAGCATGCTTCTACTGTAGATGGCTATGGGAGCTAGTTGGGACTGTGATCACAACCATTCCTTTCATCAAAACCTATTCTTAGTTGGGCCTAAAGGGCAATGCCTCTGTGCTTTCATTTGTCTAAAATGCAGCCTAGCCCTTGTGATTTCTTTGTAGAAAGGAGACCAACCTGTAGGTTTCTTACTTGGAAGTTCAGTATTTGGGGACCAATTAATAGAAACCTCAGTTTTACCCTGGGTCACTGTCATGTAATGAGTGAGAGGTCTCCTTGGATCCAGCTGCTCTTCTTTCAAAACAGAATGGAACATGGACCACCCACGGAAGCAGAGTGTTTTTTGTCTGATACATACCATACCCTGTCTGAAGAGTAGCCTAGTCTATAACCCACTGCTGTGGTTGGAAAAAGACAGTTTTGGCATGAGATGGGAAGATTTCTGGGAAAATGGATTTGCTCTTTTTCAGTGAGTTTTCTGGTCTGGATTCATTTGAATGACAAAAGTCACATGCCCTTTCAGGTATACTAAGCCTTTGAACACTTCCTTAGAAAATCCTCCACTTTCTTTGAGGTACTCTTAGCATTAGGTAAATTTCACTTTGGACTAAAGTTCTTATCTACATTATCAAAGGAGAAAATATCATGTAACTCAATTATCCCTATGTTTTCTATTACATAGTAGCAGTCTTTTGAAACCCTCCCAAAGATGCTCTTCTAAATCACATTTACTAGGAGAGCTGACTAATTTTTGTAATAGTCACATTCCCCCTGGTCCCTAAAATCAGCCTCCCTTTATAGTAGGCTGGTAATAGGGAACAGAGTCACACCCCCTCTCCACAGGTGGGCTGGTAGAAAAAGGTTGAATAAATAATAATACTTTGGTCACAGGAGACTTGTGAAATCTGATGTTCAAAGAGGAAACAAGTGGGTATGGCAACCCTTCTTCTCAGCTAGCTTCCACCCCTATTCATTTAGTCATTCCCAATCTTACTTACACAAAAACTGTGGCAAAGATTTGCACAGCTGGTTTCTGCCAAGATGACCTGAGACAGATCAATTGTTTCAAAGTGGGCAAACTGCAAAAATATAACAGGGAGAAGGACAAGGAACCATTGGGTTAATGAGGCAAAGAGACAATAAAAGGTAAATACATATATACAGTACACTAACAGGCATTTTGGGCAGTTATGATCCAATTATTTATCTTGATGGCTTGAATTTATTTAGCAATATAATTTTTGTGCATGTATCATGTGACAAATAAAAAACAAACAACTAAACCAAAACACAATTTTTTTTCAAATTTTTTGTAGATTTATAGAAAGACTTGGATTGGTCAGTTCAAAATTATGCAAATGCTAGGGAAGGTTAATTCTGGAGACAATAATGGGATGTGGTCTAGCTAGGGACCTAGTAGTACAGACTCTGCTATTAGCTCCTGTCATTTTGGATGGCCACCTTTAACCATGTTCCTTGCATCTATTTTGAGGTCTATATCTCCTTGAACATTGGACATAGTAGATACTATATATCCAGAAGCAAAAAATCAGTACTCCAATATAGACAGGAGTGGTTTCACCAGTATGCAACCTGTGTAGTCACATAGGACCCCATATTCAGAAGGATGCTATACTTGGTTTAATGCCCTATTATTGCCACCTTAAAATTCTAAAAATTTTTATCTTTGAGCTTGTGTTTGTGAATGAAATCCAGTGAGACAGTGAGTCATTTATATGGAGCAAAGGAGATATGTACATATGCAGGCCCACCCCTCATCCTGTCATTGCATTTATATTTATGATGTCTATGAGCATAGAATTCCAGTGAACCCATAGTGTGTGGAAGTTGAGCAAAATTCAAAACAAGTACAAGGTAAGCTGAATAAAGAGGGTTTACTGACAACCCTGAGAAGCCACATTTTCTGTTGGAATGAGAAATTGCTGCAAACATAGAAAAAAGGTAATGGAGTTGTAGCAAATGTGAACAACTAAGGAGCCTTGTTATAGTATTCTTTCTTACTCATGTTACTTAACTGTGTTGGTCAATCATAGAAAATCTTGATAGAATGTGCAAGTATCATAAAGTGAAACAAAAACAATTGACCTAGCTTTGTGCAGTTTTGTATACTAAGGAGAACAAAATTCATATATATGTATGAGCTACTAATACAAATTGTATAATTTTGGTGATTCTTCACAGGAGTTAAATGTTCTTATATTTGCATTTAAAATTAGCATGGGACAATGTACAAATGAATGATAAAATTATCAGTAATTAGAATTTATTCTACTTTTACTTAGAATGACATTATATATCAAAATTTAAAATACCATAAAAATTGCTTTATATTTTAGCATAAATGCCCAGCATTATATATTAGTTCCTCCTGGTTTCTGTAAAAAATATCTTGCCCTTTCATTTTGTACTGGGCCCCATAAATTATGTAGTTGGCTCTGGGTGTTAACTGGGAAATCTATGAAAGAAAGAGAAGTAAAAAAGGGACAGGGGAGAAAATTGTCCCCCATTTGGCCCAAAGGATAAATTGAAGAGTAGAGGGTTTCAATTTCGACCCTAATGTTTGCTAGCATGTCTTTACCAATTGGCCATCTCCCCCATCCAAACATTTCCTGGTACCCACCAACTAACTCACTTGATAAGATTCTATATATTACCGAGGCATGGTGTGCAAAGTAGAGTTGCTGCCCTTGAACCATAAAGTATCTAAGCTTCCATCTCTTGAAGGAGCTACAGTTCTTCAGCAGTGGTCCTTCCTTCAGTATCTTCTGAAAGACGGAATCATAGCCATTGATTAGTTAGATCAGTTTGCAAGACCATATCACTTGTTCAGTCAAATGGAAAGATATCTCTCACATATCTGAGAAATGGCCCATAGGCCAGACAAGCACCCAAGAAAATTAGTTCATTCAGAAAGTCATTGGTTTCCCTTGCATAACATAAAAAAATAAAGGCTTCAAGTTTCTTAGGATACATGGCCCAAGAACCATGGAAAATATCTCCATTTGTGGTAGAAGCTGGCAGGGAGAACCATGAACACATAAATACAAAAGTACAGTGATATCTTGGTTGTAGAATGATTTCAAGTTCAAACTTTCCACTACTCAAACAGCAAAGTTTGAAAAAAATCTGCTTGGTGTTCATAACTTTGCTTGACAGTCAAACCGAAAATCTGACTTGAAAAAGCCTGTACAGATGAGGAGTGAGTCATACATCACATCTCGCCATGGGCACAAAGCGGTGACGCTTTAGTCTAAGTGTTGCTCTCATCCAGACAACATATAGTGCTTGTGTTAGTGCATTACAATATTCATCACTGTGATTTTTGGGTGCTTTATTTGCATAAAATATAAGCATGGCTCCAAAGAAAGTTAGTGATATCTACAATAAAGCTAAGAGGAATATTGTGAGAACAATGATAGTTAATGAAAGAAATCATTGTGAAATTTAAAGTCCTAGAAAAATAAATTTATAAGTGTAATTTTGGGGCCTCAGAATCAATTATTTGGTTTTTCATTATTTCTTATGGGAAAAATATGTTCAGTTCTCAAATTTTTCAGTGTTCAAACACGAATTTGGAACAAATTTAGTTTGACAACCAAGACATCACTATAATATTCAGTAAATGTTGATTTTTCAAAGCATCCAGTTGTTGCATTAGACAGGATCTTGTAAGTCCTTTTAGAGTGACCCTTTTAAAATATGAGGTTAGATTATATCCTTTCCCTGTCCAGAAGCCTCCAACAGCTTCCCAGCACATTTGGAGTCAAATATGAATTCCTTATCAGGGCATTCAGAGGACTCATGGTCTGGTGAGGGATCAAGCACATAAAAAGATCACCAAAAGACAGCTATCTTCTGATTCTTTTTATATATATATCTCTTAGTCTGAGCAATGATTTTCCACTTATTTCCAGAACAGATTGACTCCAACCAAGCAACCATGTACACTTACCATTTTCAACATTAAGAACATTTTCAGTTATGTCATAAGATACAGATTAACATGCAAGACTGCCATTTGGGAGAAATACTCACCCCTGTCAAGCTAGAAACAAACCTATAGTTACTGGACAAAGAGGCAATTTAAACCATCAAATTAGGGCTGTATCATGACTTCTTCCATCATCTAAAACAGAATTCACTACTGAGTGTCTATAAAGGTGTTTTTTAATGGCCTGCCTAATGTTTATCAAAGGTTTTAACTGGTTCATAATATTTAAAAGCAGAAGACCGCATTAAAATTCAGATGTTCTGTTTCTCTGAAAAACAATCAGAACATCCAGTAACATTAGGCTTACATGCTCACAATGCAATAATCTGTTAGAACTATCTAACAGCTGCCCTTTTCAGATGGATTACCTGACTCCAGTAGGCATTTGAGTTGGGGGCCGTAATGTAGACAATTCTTTGCTATTCCCATTTTCCTATACACACACAAACATCTATATACTTTGTTCAATTTCTAATCAATTAGATAGTACCAATGAACAGGGCCCCTATATGTCAACTGAAAAATCAGTTCATAAACAATTACAATTTACCTGAGTCCTCTTGAATACTTATGAGAGTTTCAAGGTTACCATCCCACCCTTGAAATGCAAAATGATGCTCCCTAAGTTTCAGGACAAAATGAACAGTAAGATTTTATGGGAAAGGAGGAGGTAGCATGGAGAGTGATAAATTATTTTTAAATTGCTGAAATTGAGTCATCAATAGGAAAATAACTTTTGTCTAAGCATGAAGAATATACGGTTCTTTTCCTTTCTCTGGTCAGGTGCCCCATAATATACACTACTAATAATGGTATTTGATTTCCACTATCCTAATCCTTTTGCCTATGCCATATACTCATCCAAACTAAGTCTTTATGATACCTAGGAAGTCATATTTATCACTTTCTCATAAAGACTTAAATCCAAATGTTTAACTGCTCAGTAAAGTTGAATCCACATCCATTATTTCTGCCCTATGTCCAAATTACTGAGTTCTCTATCATTTTTTAATTGTATCTGGCTATGTTGCCCAGGCTGTCCCTGAACTCCTGGACTCAAGAGATCCTCCTGCCTCAGCCTCCTGAGTAGCTGGTACTACAGGGACACATCACCTCACCTGGCCATTAACTCTGTCATTTTTCAATTCAAGGTCACTTTGCATTATCCAGGCTTGCCTTGAACTTGCTCTGTAGCCCAGGCCGCCCTTAAACTCGCTTTTGCCTCAGCTTCCTGAGTACTGGGAATTAGGGTTAGAGTTAGTGAGTGCCACCAGGCCCAGATTCTGTTAATTATTGAATACTTCCATCACTGTTTTTATTTTGTCATATATAATGCCCCCTGTCTAGTCTATTTTACAATTCTTGATAGGATACTTTTCTTTTCCTTCATTTTCAGTTTAAACCCTTGTATTTCAGACTGGTAAACATCTACACAACTACTTTCTCTTCTGAAAAGCATCACACTTAAAGAATCTATTTTTCAGGCATTGTCAGCCATAGACCAATAAACTAAGATCCCCCATTTCATAACCTGTGAATATGATAGCCCAAGAGGACTCAGATTTTAGCTTAGTCATTTGCCAAGAAAGGAAAGTGATTATTTTTCAAATTTCGATTTTGTCCACCTCTAGACCCCATCTTTTCAGCAAACCATCTTGAATAACAATAGTTATCCAGAGTCCATTCTCAATAACCCAGCATCCACCCCCAGGTAAATTCCACCAGTCAAGGGACCATTCAAGATGGTAGAGCTATGTAAGAGTCCAGTTACTCTGTTGCACTCTAACTTATATAAATTTGAAGTGGATTCTGACAAGTTAAAATGTATATTTTAAGTCCTAGAGCAACCACAAAGAAAACTAACAGTTTGTTTGGCTTTCTGAGTTTGGCTTATTTTGCTTAACATAATGGTCTCCAGCTCTTATATGAGAAATCTAAAATATGCAACATACATATATGCATACACACATACTGGAAGGTAAACTCTTGAAAACGGGAAAGGTGGTCATGGAGAAAGAGGAAGGGAAGGGAGAGGGGTGGTAAAAAGATTGAAAATGATCAAGACATGCTATATTCATGTATCAATTCCCCCTAAAAGCCATCACTAGTCTCTCCTACTAATATGCATTAATAAAAAAGATAAAATGTTTGAACATTATACAACAACTACAACAACCATTACACATCTACTAAAATGGCTAACGCTGATAATACCAAGTGCTGACAAGGGTGTGGAGCAACACAAACTCTCATTCACTGCTGCCAGGAATACAAAATGGTGATGCCAATTTGGCAGTTTCTTTAAAAAATCAAACATAAAAGCCAGCAATTGCAATCCTTAGTACTTACCCCAAATCATTGAAACCTTATGCCCATACAAAAATCTGCCCATAAATGTTTATAGAAGATTTATTCATAATTCATAATCCAGGATTTTGTGTGAGGATTTGTAATTTTGAAATGTTAGCAACTAATTTAAATTTTTAAAAAATCTTTTGAGGGCAAAATGAAGCATGTTTCCAAGTCCCAGTTGGCTCACAAGCAACTGATTTGAAACTTCTGAACTGTAACTTCTGTCACATCAGAGGAGCTTGCAGTGTGCAAGTTCGGAGCCTGTACATGTCAGACATCTATTACCAAGTTGTGGAGAGAAGAACGTTGATATGCTCTTTCTACAGCAGGGAGAAGGGTTAGAATGCCATAGTAAATGTTTCATAAGTTCTAAACACAGTCTCTATATCATCAACTCTGGACATCTACAAATTTCCAAACCTGAATCTCAGAGAAGGTGAAGTGCTTGTACTCTCTTTCTTTCTAAATTCTGGCCCCCTTCAGGGCATCTTGCCTACTAACCCAATCACTATTTCTAAATAAACAGTTGTTCATTTTAAAACCCAATAAGCAGCCTCAGGGAGCAAGTTTGAACAGACGGAAGCTAGAAAATCACTCAATCAATGGATTTCTTCAAGTCAATAAAATAAATCCATGCAGAACAACTTCTATCTGCTTGGTGGTACTAAATTGAACAAGCACCTGAGAGAAAAACTGGAAGAAGCAATCAAACACAACCCACAAACAAACGCACTGTAGGATAAGCCCTTGCCTCTTCTTCTGCAGTTCCTGGCCTCTTGCAGATAACATCTCTCTGCCCCATCAACACAACCATGTGGAGTGTCGGCTCCAATTTCCAGATGGTAAATCTGAGGCTGGGGCATTTCCGCTACTGTAGTCAAAGATCCACAGTTCCAAGATGCTGTTGACCTCTATGATTTCTCTCCGCAGGACAACAATACAGGGATTGCCTGGTTAATGAGCATGTACAGGACTGAATGAGCACAAACTCCACCCAACCCCCAACCAAACTTTGTCAGAAAAGACAAGATGATAGAAAGCTAAGAATTAGAAAATGTTCTGTGGATGAATGAGCCTTAATACTCAGTACTAGAACAGTTAGTGACCTTCCTTCCAAAAGGCAAATAGTAAGCCTCATTTTTCTAAAGAGCTAATGTTTCCCGGTGAGAGAGAGGGAAGTTCTCCTGTTTTTTTAAAAAATGACTGCCCAAGATTGGAAGACTAATTAGAATTCATATGTATATAGCACTTAGCATTAATAAAAATTTTTAATTTTTATTATAGAATCTTCTCAGCAGCCCTCTGAAGTTGGTAATGAAAGGCATCTTCTAATGCAATTTTTTCTTATGAAAGACATTCTGAACTTAGTTTTTTATATGGCTTGTTCACATATTTTTATATTTATGACATCACGAAGGAATA